ATTTGATTGCTTCCTTTCATTGCTGTTTTAATTCAATTCAAAAAGACTAAAAGGATTCATCTTATTCACATTTAGATTTTATTGCGACTTAATTCAGTTTTATAAACCCCCCAATTTTACCTTTCATATGGTTTTGTCACTTAAATTATATAAGAACATTTCAGACTCCTCCAAGTGAACACAACTTGGATTGTGCCATTGTAGTGCATTCCTATCTAGAACTAAATTGTTTTGAGAGCCTATATCAACTAAGGTTTTATCAAACTGGCATTGTTGCCAGGGAGCCATTGCTTTGGTTCTTCGTGTAATTTGGGTGTCAACTTAAGTGTTGAGCTTGGGGTTTAAAATGTGTGATTAAGGCTGTCTAGTAGTTGTATTTGCATTGTAGTTGTCTTAGAGTTTTTAGTGTTGAGCATAGTGTTTGTTTCTATTGCATAGAAAATTTTTAGAAAACTCATAAATAGTTTAATTTCCTTCAATTTTGCATTTGCGTTTCTTTTGTTAGTTCATTAGATTTCTTGCATCAAAACTGTGGTTGCTAGCTTGGTTATTGCAACTTTCTGATCTTTGTGTGGCATCAATACTTCTGCTATTGTGAGTTGCTCTGTTTTTGCTGTTGCTCTGTTCTGACGTCGATTCTGTCAAAATTTTTAGTTGCGACTACCACTTGTCTTGCCACCATGAACTGTCATTCCTTTTCTAGGTTTGCTTCAATGAACATTTTTGTCGCGACTAACTCAAGTCTTGTCACGACAAAAATCCTTTTTGAGCTAAAAATCTGTTTCTAAGTCTTGGCTCATACAAACTCTCTCCACATTTCAGTTGAGTGTATAGTTATACTCATTCATCATTCATACATACCATATACTCTTGCACCCCATTCATTTGTCCATTTTATTTGAATTGCTTTGTGTGCAAGGAATTTTTGAATCTCTTGATTGTGCGTGTGAAGAAGGTTTGAACATTTAGTGCCTTGTTAACCTAACTTGGAGAGACATTTGAGAAGGTTGAGAAGAGAGCATAACTTAGCAACCATTAGTCCCCACAATTCTGACCCACCCACTAGTGAAGGAGAGGGAAACCTAGTGGACACCTTTATAGAGATCCTGATTAGGTGTGGGCGGTAATGGGTTGAACCCTAATGATATTAGGCAAAATGAACCAACTGGGGGCAATGGGTTGAATGGTAATGGACATGAGAGAGCTAGTAAGAATATAATATTCAATGGTACTAATAGGCCACCCAGAGGGAGAACCATTAAAGACCTTACTCAGTCTGATGCTAATTTTGAGCCTTTGCTTGGTGCTTTGCCTATTTTTGAAAATAATTTTGAACTTAAAGGTCAATTAATACACTCCCTCTTAAGTTCAATGGTTTGTTAGGTGAAAATCCATATCCTTATTTGAAGTATCTTCATATGCAATGCTTGTCTATGAAGCCAGCTGGGACGAGGATTGAAGATGTGCTTTGGAAAGTTTTTCACCTATCTTTGGAAGGGAAAGCCAAAGAGTGGTACATGAATCTGCCATTATATGTAGACAACCCGTATGAATCGTGGACTACACTGAGGAGAGCTTTTCTTGACAAATACTTTCCATTTGCTAAGATCTTCGCTGCTAGAAAGGAGATATCTTCTACTAAGCAAGAGGAAAGAGAAACTTTCTTTGAATTCTGGAGCTAATTCCAAGATATGCTTACCAAGTGCTCGAACCACCAGATTATTGAGGAGCACCTCATTCAGTATTTCTATAATGGGTTGTTGCCCCATGATGCCAAAGTATTAGATGCTGTAGCTAACAGATTAGTTAAGTTAATGGAGCTACAAGCTACTTGGACCTTAATTCAAACCTTTGCCTTGAACTGCCAATATGTGAGCCCTAGAGATTCTAGAGGGTATAAGGGAGACAAGGATCCACTTCTTGTCAAACTAGCCTAAGACATGGCTAAATTGGCTTTCACAATTCAAAATTTAAGGAGCAACCAACCTCATACTGAGCCTCTAACCTTGGTCACTACTTCTTGCAGCATATGTGACTCCCTAATGCAAAGAACTGAAGATTGTATTGGTCCTGCTGAAAATGTATCTTCTATGTATCAATAGAGGCTAAACCAATACCAAAAACAGGATCCATATTCTAATACTTACAACCCTGGGTGGAAGGATCACCCTAACTTCAAGTGGAGGGAGGCGACAATCAGGGTCAAGTTAGGAATTATTAAGGAAATAACTACTAAGATGGTTCCTCAAGTAACCATCAGAGACCTAATCCCTCTACTATTGTAGTTCTAGTTAATCCCCCACAATAACCAAGTGGTGGAAGCAGTTAGTTGCAAATTATCTTGAAAGAGAGATTGAGAACTTATCTAGCCAGATGTCCAAGAGTGACAGCAAGATAGCTTCCCTAGATAATAAGATGAGCCAAGTGGAAGGGAAGATGGTGGCTATGGGAAGTCAGTTTGAGAACAATTTTTCCACTGTATATTCAAAGATTAAACAGCTTGAAACTAGACATGAGAATCTGAATGGGTTTGTCACTCAAATGTCCAATACCATGAATGATCAACAAGCTAAAGCTCACACAATGCCTTCAAACATTGTCATAAATCCTAAGTCTCTCAATGCCATTGGGTTTAGGAGTGGGAAGTGAGTTCATTTTGCTCAAGAAGAGGGCAATGATGATGAAGTAAAAAGCCCACCTTTTTCACTCATGAATCTTTTTGAAAGCTCCAAAGAGAGGGCATTGCTCAAGAAATCCAAGGATCTATAAGGATCAAGAGGGTAGCGACACTAATGAATACCAAGAGGAGCAGCCCAAGGAAGTGCAAAAAAATCAAAGAAAAGCTGCTTCAAAGAAAGGAGAAATGAGCAAAGAGGGAGCCTTAATGCATGATGGTAAGGAGGTAAATTCTAAAGAATTCTCTTTTTTGAATACATATCTTATGTCTGAAAGTTTTGTAGCATCTAAAACTTTGAAAGAGGTTGTGGATTTCTTTAGTAAGCTTGAAGTGAATTTACCTTTCATAGATTTGATTAAGAATTCCCCACCTTTTGCTAAATACGTAAAAGAGCTTTGCACTAAAAGAGCTGGAGCCCATTTATTTAGAAGAAGCACATTTTAATGAGCCAAAAAGGAGTCCAAAAATGGTGGTCACATTGCTAGAAGCCCAACAAGATGATGTACAAGGCTCATGTGGGGTTCAGATTGAAGAATTCACTTAAAATACCATGTGACAAGCATGTGCCTTGGACAAGGATCATAAGTGACGTCCAAGAATCTTCAAGAAGGCATCATTATGAACTGATTATGATTTAAATTCGTTTTTTGGTCAAGGAGTGTTCTAGAAGATCATGTTTTGATCTACTTTCCTATTTTTAAATAGTAGACTTGTTCTTGAAGTTTAAGTTATTTACTTTTATTTCTATGTAATAAATAGTGCCTCCCATAGTCAAATAGTCATTAATGAGGCATCATCCCTAGCATTTATGTCTTAAGATGCTGATTCTGGAGTGTTCTATTGTTGCCTATATATATAGGCTACGTTTTCTGTAATTGAAATTAAGACTTAGATGAATGAGAATTGAGTGTATTTCTCTCCATGTGAGCTTTGCTTGCATCCTTGTATTCTAGTGAGAATACTCGACAGTATCAAGGGATTGATCAACCTTGTGGCATCTTATGGCTAAGGTTGTAAAGAGAGGTTCTCTTAAGGTCCTACCTAGATCAACTGTCCATTTGTTACTTGATTCTAGCCGGTTCGTTCATTCCTCTCATATCAAGATTTAAATCATAATCAATTCATAATGATGCCTTCTTGATCCTTCTTGAAGATTCTTGGATGTCATTTATGATCCTTGTCCAAGGCACATGCGTGTCACATGGTATTTTAAGTGAATTCTTCAATCTGAACCCCACATGAGCCTTGTACATCATCTTGTTGGACTTCTAGCAATGTGACCACCATTTTTGAACTCCTTTTTGGCTCATTAAAATGTGCTTCTTCTAAATAAATGGGCTCCAACTCTTTTAGCTCTCTTATTAGACAATTTAGGGCCTCTTTCATAGCTTTGGTCCTTGCTCTTGTTATTGGGCCTCCAATACCTTGTAATGGATCTTTTGGAATGTTAGACTTCTTTGTTTAGGCTCCTTGTCCGTGCTCTTGATCACACCATGCTCCTCCATCACTTGGTATACTCATATTGTGAATTATCTCATGACCAGACTAACACCACCTTCTATGTCTACTACTTAGGTGCAAAAGCTCCAAGCCGAGTCCAAGTATTATGTGCGGGATGAACCATTCCTATGGAGGTTGTGTGGGGACTAGATCATAAGGCGGTGTGTGCCTCAAGAAGAGTAACAACAGATTATCACTTCTTGCCATACGTTGTCTTGTGGGGGGCATTTTACCTCAAAGAGGACAGCAAGGAAAATCTTAGAGAGTAGATTTTACTGGCCTTCCCTATTAAAGACTGCTATGAATTCTATAAATCTTATGAGAAATGCTAACAATTTGGGGGTTAAGTTGGAGGCATGAGATGCCTCAAGAGCCCATGTTGTTTTGTGAAATATTTGATGTTTCAGGTATTGACTTTATGGGTCCTTTCCCTCCTTCCAATGGCTTTAATTATATCTTTCTAGCAGTTGATTAACTTTCTAAATGGATAGAGGCCATTCTTGCCTGGAAATATGATGCCAAAACTGTATTTGAATTTGTCATGTCTAACATTTTTAGTCAGTTTGGGATTCCTAGGGCCTTAGTGAGTGATCAAGGAACCCATTTATGTAATAAGCTTCTTAGTAGCCTACTTGTTAAATATGGGGTCACACACAAAACGTCTACTGCCTACCACCCTCAGACAAATGGCCAAGCAGAAGTATCCAACTAAGAAATCAAGCGAATCTTGGAGAAAATGGTAAAGCCTTCAAGAAAGGATTGAAGTTTGAAGCTTAATGATGCACTGTTGGCATACCAAATAGCATTCAAGAATCCTATAGGGATGTCTCCATACTGCTTCGTCTATGAAAAATCATGCCACTTACTAGTGGAATTGGAGCATAAGGCTTATTGGGCTGTTTCGATATATAACAAGAAAATGGACAAAGCTGGCGAAGAAAGGCTATTTCAGCTTCAAGAGATAGAAGAAAGAAGACCTGAGGCCTACGACAACTCTCGGATGTACAAGGAAAAGTGCAAGACTATTCATGACAGTGGTATCTTAAGGAAGAATTTTAAGCTTGGTGACAAGGTCCTTAAATTCAAGGCCCGGCTCAAATTTGGAGATGGGAAGCTAAACGAGAGATGGGACAAACCTTACACCATCACCAAGTTCTTTGGCTATAGAGCACTTGAACTCAAGGATGGCACTAAGCATCTAGCCAATAGACATCTCCTCAAGCTTTTCTATGACAAGCCTGCAGAAACGTAGCCTCAAGTTTTTTCTTTCCTCTCTATATCCTTTATCATTTTGAGATTGCTCGTGATATCAACTGCTGCTTAACTTGTTCGATTTGTGTGAGGGAGGAAGCTCTCTAGTAGTGTAGATGTTATTTGATTTTGTTGGTTGTTTTGTTTGCTCTTTGTTGGTGTGTTTCTTTGTTTTGTTTTACTCCTCCCAAGTTTTGCTACAAGCTCTATCTTGTGTTTTGCTTTATGTGGTTTTTCTGATTGATGATTGCTGCACTATGCATTTTGGGGGATAGTTATGGGTTTAATTTCAAGGTTTTTACTGCTGGAGCTTGTTTTGCTAAGGGTGTTGGGTAATTGGTTTGGTTTAGGGCCTAGAATTCAGTGTTTGTTGGCTAGAAGGGTTGTTAGTGGTTCTTCTCAAAGTTGCTCTCGGCATAACTTTTAGTCGCGACTAACTATTGGTTTGTAGTGATGAACTCTACCTTCCCTAACTTCCTAAATGCCTCTAGAAGAATTTTAGTCACCTTATCTCTAGTAATTCCAGATTCGTGTTTTCTCTATTTTGTCCTTACCAGTTCTTTTGGACCACCCTTCTTCAAACCGGTTCACCTTGATAAGTTTTAGTTTGGGTACCATATAGGGGAGTGTAGTGTCTTAGGATTTGTCTAGCTTACTTATTTTTCCTTCATAGGAGTTTAGGAAGTCTGTTTTTTTGTGTTTTTGTTCCTATGTGCTTGCAATCAATGTTCTGTGTGTGCTGTATTTGCTCTTACAGATGCCTCCTCATACTACCAAACTGAAACAAAAGAGCAAGCCTGAAACACCATCTATTCCAGAAACCTGCTACCAGAAAGAGAATTCCCAAAAGCTACAGAATGTGAATTTTACCAGTTGGCTATCCAAAGATGGTTTGGGGACATGATGAAGAAAAGAATGCATGGCAATAAGTACTTGGTTAGGGAATTTTACACTGCCACAAGATTTGAGGATACACCAAAGATTAAGCTGCGCTAAATAGGTGTGAAGTTCACAAAGAAAAAAATATTCAACAACATTATAATTTGCGGGTGGTGAAGAAGTGTAAGTTCTAGCATTACAGAAAGAATCTAAAAGATGTTAACTGGGACGACATCATCAATACTCTGTGTGTGGAGGGTGGAACTTGGGCTGAAAGGGGCAAAGATCAGCTCGACCTAGAGAGGAGGGTTATGAACAATGAAGCCTGCATTTGGCTAAACTTTATGTGCTATAACATTATGCCCAGCACCCACATCTTTGACACCAACAAGGAAGGTGCCTTGCTACTGTACTTACAGATAAAGGAGGAAGTAGTTGACATTCCTCTGATTGTTTTAGAGTCCATCTTGCAGTGTGCTCACTCCACCAGGCCAATTTGGTGTTCCCTCATTTGATTTCTAAGCTGTGCATTAAAGCGAGAATACTGGTGGAGGACAACGATGCATTATTTGAGGGGGCCAAACCAAATGCTACAAGCCCTCCAATAAGCAAGCTACAAAAATGCGTAGCAGAAAAAAGAACAAGAGAGTTGCTGAAGACGAGCCTGCTAACACTGCAGAAGTGCCTGAAGGAACCGGTAGCTCTAGTATCATCATAGAGACCCTAAACCAGTAAATTACATTGCTCCAAGATAGTTTTGATTAGAGGATGGCAGCTTTGCAGAATTATGTCCTCACCTAAAAAGCCCGGCAACAGCAATTCTTTGACCCTTTAATGTGAGCCTTGGCTACACAGTTTGGGATTCTTCTACCCCGTGGGTTTGAGGAAGCATTTAGCACTCGTTGTCTTGGTTATAGAGGGCCATTCGAGCCACCTGCTGGACCCTCTGGCTCCTAGCTGTTGAACATGGAACCGCCTATAGAGGAGGGGAGGGAGAACAAGGAGGACTAGAGCTTTCTTTTACCCTGCTTATTTCCCTTTTGCTCTGTTTCTTTTTCTGCCTGCTGATGATGTTAGATGTTAACTAGATTTTGTTATGATGTTAAACTTTAACTTGAATTGTTCTTGATGACTGAATGTGCTTGAAGTGCTCTTAATACCATGTTTCGTGCCTTCTTATCTGTGTTTCTTTGTGCCTTAATCTGTTTTGGTTTTGACCTCTTTAATGAGGACATTGTGGCCTTTGAGTACGGGGGAGGGGAGTGTTTGTGCTTAATTGTGTCCAATTTTGCCTCTGCCTTCATTTTTGTCACGGCGAGTGGTTATTTTCGTCGCGACAAAGTGTTGATTCTTGTGTATTTTGCTCTCGACATGTTGTTTCATCACGACTAGTGTCTGTGTTAGCCGTGACAAAGTTTCATTTCTATGCCTTTATGATTATTGTGGTCGTGGTGAATTCTTGTGTTAGTTGCGACAAACTTGCAATGTTTTTTTTTCATAAAATGTTTTCATAGCTTTGTAGAGGCCTAACTGAAATTCACCCATATTTGGACTTTGACTGCTTATTTTTGCAAGGAAATTTTCTTTTTCTCTTTTCAAGTTACATTGAAACCTTTTCAGTTCTTAACTCATTCATGGGTGGTTGAAAATTTTCAAAGGGTGTTCATTCTTTGATTCACAATTTTAGTGGATTTATTCATGCATTGGGATTAATCTTGCATTCGATTAAGCAATGTGGATGAACATGAGAGATCTAACCTTGTTGGAAGTTATTTGAAGCCAAATTCCGTTCTAGTGTGAATTTTGCTACTTGATTTTACATTCTCTAGAACTTGTTCTGGTTCTTTGTTAAAGTTTCATAAGCATTGGTGTTTTGGATAGGATAAAGGCATTCATTTCTAAACCCTTTACCCAAACACAAGCTACTTTATTTAACCCTTGTTCACCCATTCAAGCCTTCTTTAAATGTAAGTACCAAAACATGTATCGTTTATTCAAGTCCAACTATACTTTACTACTATGTTTGTGATATTATACTTTATCTTCTTGGGGTTGGAATTGCCAGAATTAAAAAAAAAGAGGAAAAAAATGGATCCATAGAATAAAAGTTTTGAATAAGGCAAATTCCTTGATGGTTTTAAAGATTAAAGTGTTGTGCTTCAAGAATTTCAATATAAAATTAGTTGGGAATCAATTCTGGTTATTGGTACTTGTTTTATTTCTTTTTATCATTCCTTCTGTTTAGCCTTCACTCATCATTACATCCCTTAAAGTCTTTTTGATCCAATGCGTCATTGCATTCTTAGTGGAGATGGTAAAACCACCACAAGCTTATGGTACTTTGTTTTGTCAAGTGGGTTTGAGAAAAAATGACCCAATTAAGGTGAGTTGGGCAATACACTTTTAGCCTTTGAGTGATCTTCGATGCTCATCCCCTCTGGTTGATTGGTTGTTTTGGTTAATCACTTTGTATAGTTTTTCTCACTATTTTTGTTTGTAAGAGAGTACTGCTATTTGATTTGTCGTTTTCATTCCATGGGTTAGTTGAGTTATCTTTGGTCTTTGATGTATGCTTGATTGGTTGTGAGGAGCACTTGTTATCGTTTGTGCCTGACTCTAGTCTTTTCACAACTCTTGCTATTTCTCTTTTTATTTTGCGGAGAGCACAAATGTTTAAGTGTGGGGCAGTTGATTTGACCAAGTTTTACTGTATTAATTCATGTCTAATTACATGTTGTTAGAGGAATTAATTGGTTTAAAATGCATGTCTTGATATGAATTGTAGTAATTTATAACTGTGAGTTTGATTTCTTATTAAGCACTTTGTAGGGGCAAAACTGTCACATTGTGCATCGTTTTAATTAATCATCATTTATGAAATTGAATTGGATATTATAAGTACTTAATTTGATTTTCAAGTTTTAAGTGAAAAATATCTCCAGAGAACCTAAGTTCAAGAAAATTACAGTTAAGGCCCAACAGATTCCAGGAATTCAAGAAAACAGCCAACTAAATGCAGCTGTTCGTTTTGATCATTTGGTCACGGCGAAAGGGAATTTTGGTCGCGATAAAAATAACGCTGATATAGAATCAAGTTTTAAACCTCAGGTTGTGATTTTGGTAAAAGGAAGGCACGAGCTAGTTGCCATTCACCATCCATACACTCCCATTTTCATCTCCTAGGATTTTTCAAGGGTTCTTAAGGTTCCCCCACTGATTCCTACCCATTTCCATCTCATTCCATCAGTTTTTTACATCATCCATCATCCACTTTCAGCTGCTATGGCTGGTGCTTTGATTTTAGAGCTTGGAGGAGCTGTTTCTGAAGTCATGAGAGGCTAGAACGCTTTGGCCTGATGAGTTTTGATGAAGACCTGAGCTTGGGAACTTGGGGAGTTTTACTTCATCTTTTCCATTACTTTAATAGCATTTCAGTTGTTCTTGGTTAGAATTTTTGTGCTGTTGTTAAAGCTGAACTTTAATGATATGATCCTTTCATTTTGGATTAGATTCTGAGAATTTATGCCTTGGTATTTGTATTGTAATGAGAATTCTATATTTAGTCTTGTGAATTTGATTGGTGTTCAATCGAAATTCGGTTTTGATTAAGTGTGGTGCCTTGTTAGCATAACTGGTTATTGTGTTCAAGTTGGTATTACCATTGTATCAATCTCACCAAGTGTGCATTCATGAGGGTGGTTAGTTTTGTTGTGAATCTTTGGGTCAAAAGTTTCGTTAGCACACTAATTTCTCTAAGTTTGGAAGGTTTTCTAAACTAGCTAGGTTTGGTTTTCAAGTAAACTCCTACCATAATTTGAAGTAACGAAGGCTTAATCAATTCTCCAATGGGGATTTTTATCAATTAAGTTTACAAACTATCCATTTGATTACTTTCTTTCATTGCTATTTTAATTCAGTTCAAAAAGACCAAAAAACTTCATCTTATTCACATTTAGATTTCATTGCGACTTAATTCGGTACAAAGTTCAATTAACTCTTAATGAATGAATAGTAGAGATTCGCTCATAGGGTAAAAGTGTTTGATTCCCTCATCTCTCCTCATTTGGGGTTCTTTTCTCTCAAAAATTCAAGCAGCAAACATCCTACCATAAGCTTGTAATA